AGATTTGTGTGTGACAAAAATTGGACTAGAAACGATTTTCACTCAGAAACTAGTCAATTTCACAATTAAAACATGTTTGATAAAAATCAAATTCAAATGAGCTGAGCTACTATCCACATTGTTACTTTTATAGTTCTATTACTGTGTGTCAACCGTCTTTTATTTATCTGAAGGAATTTTTGAGACATAGTTGAAGTTGATACATAAATAAGAACTCCCTTGAGTTATGATCCTTTGAGCAATAACATTTTCCTCTGGGTTTATTTATGCTGTTTATTAAAAAATCCTTTGAAAATCTCATCATATTTCGTGGTTGAGTTCTGGCCTCGTCTACAACACAACTGTTGAGATGTAATCCAGACAGAAGGCAGACGAGCAGCTGTCGAGCTGCCATGTCATCGAGCAGAAACGCTTCTCGCAATGTTTTCCAAATTCTGTGGCAGGAATGTAAATAGTAGCGATTAATCCCTGTCTTGGTGGGATTACCTATCAACAGACTCAGAGACGAGGCTGTCAGCAGCCAGCAGCCAGCGCCAGTGTGTAATCCCACATCTGATCCACTGGCTGAGTTCTCGCTCTCCTGGCTAATTATACATCCTGCAGGGCACCAAACATCCACTCTCACACACTCAACACGTCACTACTCAGAGGATGCTCCTTCATTCCTCAGGAGGATGATGCTACACCTAAAACTCCTTAAGAGAAATGCAAAAACACAAAAGAGCTTAAATCAACGTGAATAGCAGCTCAGGAAGAATTTGATGAGAAATATTTGAGTTAGTAGCACACTTTGAGACAATGTTAAGAGTCGTCGTGTGAGATTTATGGGGGCCTTTTTTGCAGGAGACTTCAGCAAAAGTTTGCATTTAAACAGACTTCCGTGTAGGAGAAACAATTGTGATATTAAAGTCAACTTGACATGGCATTTGCAACCCATTTTACTGGTGTAAAAAAAGTTTGGAGTCTGTGAATGCTGTTGAAAGGATGCAGTCATGCATTTGTTTGAATAAAACTACATCAAAAACAGTAATATTGTGAAATATTATTTTAATTTAAAATAACTGTTTTCTATTTGAATATATTTTAAAATGCAATTAATTCCTGTGATTTTCAGCATCATTACTCCAGTCTTCAGTGTCACATGATCCTTCAGAAATCGTTCTAATATGTTGATTTGCTGCTCAAGAAACATTTATTATTATTATCAATGTTGAAAACAGTTGTGCTGCTTCATATTTTTATGGAAACCACAATTTTATTTTTAGTATTCTTTGATGAATAGACAGTTGAAAAGCACAGCATTCATATGAAATTGCAATCATTTGTAACATTATAAATGTCTTGACTGTCACTTTAGATCAATTTAAAGCATCCTAGCTGGAAAAATATATACCTTTCCAAAATAACGACTCCAAACTTTTGAACAGTAGTGTATTTTCTAGTAAAACAAGAGGTAAAATTCATATTATCAGCCAAAAAGGAAAGACGTTTCAGGTTTTTGAACCATGCTATACTAAAATCATGTTGGAATAAAGTGCACCAATGAAACGGCATGCCAAAGCGTACTTCTATTTAGAAAGTCACATGTGATTATTCTGCGCAGGCACCCAAAAAGGCAAAGAAGCGGGCAGAAGGAGCCAATTCAAATGTCTTCTCCATGTTTGAACAAACACAGATCCAGGAGTTCAAAGAGGTACAAACCAAGCGCTCGTTTGACTCTAATTGCTCTGACAATTGTCTTTATCGTGACTCTTTCACTGTGATATCGAGCATCTACAGCGAGATTCCCGTATGTGACTTCAATATGTCAGTGTTCATCATCGCTAGTGAATAATTCAGAATGTGTCAGTAACGATTAGCACAGCGGAGTGATTTACACCCTGAACACACACTCGCTCACACACACTCCAATCTGCTGTCAGGGCCCTAAGATTTGCGTGGAAAATGCAGCAGGACAGACGTTCTCTCTGGTCTCAAAGCGGCTGTGAAAAGATCACGACAAACAGGATAAGCATGACGCTGATCCGAGATGGCAGTGATGAGAACGTGCAGACAAATGCTAGCCGTCTTTCTCTCTCTCTCTTTCAGTCTGTCTCTCTCTCTCACAGATCACTAACAAACACAAAGACACCAAGTAAAGAGGAATTACAGGAACTATAAATACACAACTGAGGGAGTTTTGAAAAATAAAACACTAAAAAAGCAGCATGACAGTGAGGTCTGACCTTTAGTTAAAGAATGAATTTGTGATTATGATTATAAATACACGCTGTTATTTTTCTGTGGAACACAAATGGAGATTTTTTTTTAACTTTCACACTCAAAAAAATAATACATGTACCTTAAAATATCATAACAGCAGGCCATGTGACTTGAGAATTATATTCCAAGACTTCTGGAGTCAACCGATAGCTTTGTGTGAGTCGCAAACTGTTATTCAGATAAACTGTCCATGCCACCAAAAATTCAAAAATGGCTTGTCATTGGTTTTGAGTCAAAGCGGGGTTACTAACAAAAACTAAAACCTTGAAAATAAATAAATAAATACATACATACATACATACATAAACTTCAACTGAAATAAAATATTAATAATTTTAATAATATTTTAATTTAATAATAATAATTTTTAATATTTATATTTTGTTAATTTTTATTTCACAGCACAGCACATCAAGTTACTAAATGAAAATGATAAATGTTGCCTTGGAAAATAGCTGTAATAAATAATTTCAAGGTTTTTTAATATTTTATTTCAGCTAGTTGCTAAAGAAATATTGTTCATTTAGTTTAACTTGGTGAATAACTATATAATAATAAAAGAAAAATTTGCCACTAGAGGTGCAGACACGCTTCACCTTTGACATACACCTTAAACACCATCAGACTACATTCTGCATCCCTCTCACACACACACTCTATATTCTCTCTCTTTCATTTGCCTCAAGCTTTCACAATCATGGACCAGAACAGATACG